CAGGAACATTTGGAATTTTCTTCTTTAAGTAAGTTTTTCTGGTTTCCTCGCGGTAGATTTCTTCTAACTTAGACTTCACCTTTTCCTCGTTACTTTTCACATCTGTTTCCAACGACACGATCCTAGCAACATTTGAATCTGGAATAGTCTTCACCAGCGGGGGATCAACTCCCAAGCAGGCGCGAACGCTGGGAAGGTTAGCTACCACGGCTTCCCAGAAATCCTTGTTGACTTGCACATCGCACTTCGCAAACTTGCCGAGGTAACTTTGCACCTGGTCAATACATTCGGATTGCCAGGACTCGCTGTCTTCTTCCCCACGGTACACTATTACAGCCATTTTGTTGTTGGGTTTCCAGGTGATTGCGCTTTTCTTTTCAGCTAACGAATTATTCAGTTCAGCTTGGAATCCTGTAGAATTGACATATTCCATGACATCTGGATCCACAGCTATGTGTAGCTGTTGTGTTTTGGCATCGGGCTTCTTGCTCACTCGAGCCTCACTGGCTCCGGTTGCACTAGCTCCTAAATCACCTGTACCATCTGCTAAATCAACTTCTTCACCCACTAGGAACTCTTGGTAAAGTTTAATTGACACCTGGGTTTGTTGTAATATATGAGGTTTCTCTTCATGTCTGGTTATCACATTTTCCATATCTGTCGATTGAAACAACTAAGTATCAAGAATTTTCAGGAGAAAGTTATTTGTCGTTTTTCAACTCTTCACGACCCTTAATCTTGAGAGACGAAAGACCAAAGGTGTTTGAGTGTTTGGGACAGAGTAGAACTATCAATTAATCAATCACTTCTTTGTCTTTCTATTAGTTTTCTCTATTAGTCCAATGTTCAGTCCTGGTTTTAAATGAAAAAGCAATATTAACACATCAATGAGTTTCGGATGTCGTGTATTGTGCCGGAAGGAATAAGACAATACCTACATTTTAGAGATCAGTGAGTTACAAACCTTTTGCGTCTTGGAACACAACCACAGCTCGACCACTTTTAGGTCTATAGTGAACCTTCTCCACAGGACCCCCACCGTTTCGACGACTCTCAAAGTACAGTTCAATAAAATCATGGGTAACATTTTCAGAAAAGCCAGTGACAAGGATGCTTTTGCAAACCGGGACTTGTTCAATGGAAACCTGCGCACCATCCAGACCTCTTTCCTCGCATTTGGTCTTGATTTTTCTGAAATCTAAAATAAGATCGCATTCTCAACAAACCTTTTTCTTGTTCAATTTACCGTTTGGAAGTCATCCTGAAAGACAACCCTCATTTAATAACTTGTACTCACATCAATTGATTACTTGGATCTGAATTATTTTGATAGTTTAATAGAGAAAAGCAATCGGAGTTTATTTCTCGAAATATCAAAAACTGTTAATACAGTGGAACCCCTCTAAACCGGACACCCTTGGGACCGGAGGAAATGTCCGGTTTGAAGGGGTGTCCGGTGTACTGAGGTTTTACCCATATGGCAATTATGTGCCGCATAATGTATTGTCTGACTGTAAGTACCAGTACATGGTATACAATCCCAAATTTACCGCTTAGAGCCTACAGTGTTGGTTTAGGCACTGACTCCCCGCATTTGATCAACTTAATTTTCTTCTCTAAC